ACCAGCACCAGCATCCGCACCATCACTACTACTACCAATCTCTAGTGACTCTAGTATTGGTTGATGTTCTTTGCTTCATACTGCGTAGCCCCCTTTGAACATGTTTGAACTATCAAGTGCCCCAGCAAATCCACCAAGACGTTCAAGCAGCGCTTCTGAGGCAAGGTTTCCTGGATCCGCAGAAAGGGACTATTTCTAATTTAGCTCAGCAGCTTCTGTGGTGATGTCCGACCTGGCTTTCCACAGCTCAGTCACGTCAAGAACACATGTCGGTGTTGGGATGAGGTCATTATATCCAAGCGCTATGTACAAGTAGGATACAAAAAGCCCGTATAATATATTGTATAAATAAATATATATATATTTATATATTAATATATATATATATATGTGTGTGTGTGTAAGTCATTATACTGTAAATCCATATGAGCCTTGCCACCCAAAAGAAACTGATAAATTCTCATCCCAAACTTCCAAAGCTGACCACCTCATAAAAATGGCAACGCCTCTTGGCAAAGACCTGCCCTAAACTGTTACAGTGCAAGCAAGGTGCATCAGGCTTCAAGGAGCCTCGGCTGTGGTACGCTGGCAACAGAAAGCAAAACACAAAGAAGCCTTGGACACGCTATGGCACACTTCAGTACATCTGAACACGCAAATGTAAAGTGGGGCAGGTCCGTTCACAACCATCTTTCACACTGGCTTGTCTGCCGCGCCTCCAGCGTGCCGGTTCCTCTCCTGCATGTGTCCTGCATGGCTGGCGTCATCGAGTCGTTTTTTCTTTCAATGAATCATTCTCAAAGTTGGCTTTGTGAAGGGGCATCAATCATGTATCCAACCAACTTCAATCTTCAATTGCAGGGTCAAGTGTTAGGGCCTGTTAGGGATCACGTCACCTCTGCCTGCCCATGTCTGGCCGGATGCACAAGTGTCGCGAGGCGAACGCGAGGCGAAAGCAGCAAAAACCCGAACGCACAAACCAGTCCTCTCAAGCTCTTGGAAGACAAGCCTCTGGAGACTTTCGTGGACGTGAGGACCTCGACAGGCACCTGCAGAGGACTCAAGTTCACGGCAACGTGAGGATGAGTTGCAAGCAACGTGTGCGGTTGGACTATGTGGACATGCACATGTGTCACATGCTTCACATGCACATGATTGCAAGACGCATCAAGATGCAAGATCTCTACAGTAGAAGGTGCAAGTGCGCGCATCTCGTAACCATAGTATGCCCCTCTCATCTCATATCTCCGCTGAGGCCTCTTCTTCGACCTCCACCAAGCTCGGGTCCAAAGAAGCCTCAGCCACCTCGGCCTCTGAATCTTCCCCAGGCTTGGTCCAACTGGAGACTTTCGTCTTCTTGTTGTGGTAGAAGGTCAGTCCTGCCAGGAGGCATCCGGAAGATCCAGGGAGGACGGATATGAGACACTTTCTCCGCAACCTGCTGAATGATCGTGCTGACTGCTGGGTTCTCATTCTGAGTTCTGCCGAGGCATGATGGGGTCCGATGCACCGGGCCAGCATCTACCCGAAAGCACCGTGCCAGACATTCATCAGAGGCTACGTCCCGGAAGTGCATCTCTTCATAGCTGAAACGCTTAGACCATGGCTACGTAAAGAAAACAACCGAAAGTCAGGTTGACACCACCTGTCCTGTGGTTGGATCGACGTGCTCGGACCATTCGGAATCGGAGTCGGATACTCGGCCGGCCCGAACTCGTGATTGCAGTTGCATGCTCCGGGCAGCACCGAAGACACCAGGGCAAACCAATGACCTGAACAGTCTCACTTGCATATTCGTTCTGGTAGGCGGGCATTGATGATGATGCGGTACAGAATTTATGTGAATATGAATATGTGATACATATGGACCGCACATTCAACGCTGACAAAAGAAACATGCTCAATTTCCACGGCTTTGCCTTGTCACCTCTGTTGCAAGTCTAACATGTTGAGACATGCTCCTTGAAGCACTGGCATGCATTCGTGAGATTGCACACGAATGCGCTACCGGTCTGTCAGGGACATACCGAATACTGCACATGCATAGACATAGACTCAGACATTGACACGCACTCTTATCTAAGTACCCATGGGTATCCTCCTCTCAACCATTCCATTCCAAACCTGCACCCCCTGACTTGGGGCCCGACACGCCCGGCATTGCTAGACATCCTTGCTGCTGGCCTGCATCTGAGAAGCGAGCAAGAAACATCTACGAGTAGCATCTTTTAACCGAGCGATATCTTGCTCAAAACATTGTTGACTTGAATTGAATCCTTGCTGCTCTACCTGAAGAATGCTGGGAGCGGCCAGCTCCAAACAGCCAGCACGCTGCTCCGACTGAACAAGGCCAAATCATGCCATAGCCAAATCATGCCAAATCTATGTAGTTTTGTTAGGTGGGAGAGAGGGTTGGTGTTCCTGCCTACCTCAGCCAACCAAGAACACCAGTACAGTACCGAGAGCCGTTGAAACAGCCTTCCAGCCCCAGGGGTGCATCTTTCAGGGGTACTACCTTGAGACTTGTTGGGCTCCATGCTGACAAGGTGCTATCCTCACCTTCTCGTTGTCTCAGGTTGATACGCTCTCCCTTCATGGAGCCTGGGCAGCCAAGCAAACACATGACCTTGTGTGGAGCATGGGCAGAGAGAAACTTTCGGAAACTTCACGACCCTTCACATGGCCGGGTCTCACCATCAAGCACACTGGGACCAATGCTTGCTTTGAAGGCGTCTCCATCTGCGGGCTTGCCTACGCATCAGGCCGAGGTCGCACATCAAAGTATCACAGGTACCACACAACTAATTACATAACGCTGCTGAAAAGTGCTCCATCCCGCCTAGGACCTCGGGAACAACATCTTGCTCGCTAACAGCTTCAAGCATGTCAGAGGCCTGCTTTGCAGGCGGCACTGGTGACATCACCGGCGCTGACAGACTAAGTGCACAGGCAACGCAAATCATTTACGCTACTTCTGTGTCGACCCGTTGATGGCCTGTCCACATCATGGGGAACCCATGATAAATGAATTAAAACGATCATATCATATCTGATATCATATGTCGAGTCTACTGTTGAGTCTTTGAGAAGCTACGCATGTCTGAGTCTTGAAAGTTTTAGATGTGCATCTGCACAAATCAGCTCCTTGTCAGCACTCAGCACCCCTTCAGCTTCCAAAGACTTCTCATTTCCTCCAAGGCAAAGGCTTGAGAGGAAAGGACTCGAACATCCTGTTTGGCCACAAACTCCTGCTGTCTCCCGTCCTTGATTTCCAGTGCCGTTGGTCTTTTTCCGCTCTTGGCCGAAAGTGCCTGAGAGGACAATAAGCATTGAGAAGGTACCCAATGGAGCTCTAGACTCGGATGCTAGTTTGCCTTCGGATGTTTGTTCACTCAAATTGTGTCACTCTTCGACCACTATGGCCTTCGGCTTTCATACGCGTCAGCTGGCCCTCCACCTTTCCCAGCAAGATTTTCAGCTGGTCTGTGGACTGGCCAAGCTCCTGCCCAAATGGAACCAAATGGCTTGTGATATCCTGTGACGCCCATTTGGCAAGCATCAGGAATGACCGGAAACTCAGGAGCAAATCGTAGAAGTTGGTCATCATGGCCGGGTGATTGCGCAAGGGAAATGCTCCTAGTATCTCCTGATTTAGTCCACGTTTTCCAGAAAGAACGATGCTCCCTTTCCACCGATGGATAGATCTGTCCTTTGGCCATGCCAGCTTCCCCGTCGTTGCCATCTCCTCGCTTGAGGCACAGCTTTGAGGTTGCTAGTAGGACCTAGTAGGAGCACGAGAACATGCATTCAACCATATCAATGTTTACGGTATGTGTGCCTGTATGCCTGTATGCTATACTCAATGGATCGTTAGTTACGCTATGGTTGTTGGTATGCGTTCTACGCCGCATCCGAATCTCCTCAAAACGCCGCTCCAGCGAATTCAGGAGAAGCTGCATACCTCGGTCCGTCGATGCGGCGCTGGATGTGGTGGCGACGTATGCCATGGTCCGTCGACAACGCTGGGAGCCCGGCTCTTTGCCACCTTAGAGTTCACCCCAGATCAAGAGGCCACTTGAGGTAGGAATGCATGTTGGATTGCCATTGATCATAATGAAATGTCATAAAATGTTACATAGGTGGAAGGCACTTACTCTAATTCCAACAAGCTCTAATACAGTATCGTCTATATACATAATTCCGGCTTGAGCTGAGGAGCCGCATCGGCGTAGGACACCGCATCAGACATGTCTTTAAGCTCAGGGTATCCAGAGCCGTCCATGCTCGGCTTGGCCGGAGCCTTGGCGTCAGTCTTGCATAGTCTTGCACCATCTTGGAAACTGAAACTAGCAAACCCACCCTGACCGTGGCCTTGGAAATCTTTTGAGCCAAGATTGCATGAACATGCATGAACTACCTACTCCTGGTGATCCTGCGCCAGGGAGTCCACTTCACAGCTGGCCGAGTCACCAAAGGCTCGGCTCTCTAGGCGTGTGAGACAGGAGCAAGACCTGTGCAACCTCTTTCGGACCAGTGTTTCATGTCTTGGGATTTGGACTTGGAGACTTCAAAGACTTCCAAGAAGCTTGGAGGTTGCTTAGGCTTGGGAAACCCGCGGAGCGACCCGAGTGGCTCCACGCGCTGCTCGGCCCAGGTCTGAGCCACAGCTGCGGAAAGAGTCGGCCCCACAAGGTTAGTCCCGAGCCACAAGGTCAGTGGGAACTGGGCTTGCTCCAAAACGACAAGAGAAGGGGAAGCTACTAGGAGCAAAATGGAGCAAAGGGAATCGCTACTAGGAACTAGGGGCTCCTGGCCTTACTACTAGGAGCAAGAAGCTACTAGGGGCTCCATGCTAGTCACCGAGGCCTGTTGAGCTGTTCCACCAAAAAACTGGAGCTTGCAAGTAGACATTGTACAGATGGGGCCAAGATCCAACAAATAAATACTGGCTGCAACATGCTGCAACCCGTAATCGGTTGAATCGGCTCTTGGAGAAGGACCAGAATCTTCAAGGCATGCTTCCAGTGTAGACCTTCAAGGGAGGAGACTCCAGTGTAGGTCCAGCCACCGGACAAAATACAAAGCACCAGATGTTATCCGATCGTGTCGGGCATGGGAAATTACAGTAAATCGCTTCAAAACCGATGAAATCCGAGCCCAAGATGGAGATCATGGTCTTTTCTTCTGACAAAGGCCAACGCCTTGTCCCCAACTGGAGATGGCAACGTTGAAAGTGACTGTGTCTGGTCCTTTGTGCGGAAGTGGGAATGCTCATGACTTTTCCTAGAACTCAAACTAGCCGGCTGCTCTAGCTTCCACAGGATAACATCCAGCTATTCAACTTGGTCTGCGGCTGATTCCAAGACCCATGGATCTGGAGCAAAGCTCGTGAAAGAGTTTGAGTGCCTCTGCGGTTTGCAAAATGTCTACGTATGATTATATCGTCACGAGTGGTCCGGGTTGATTATCCTTGAGACTTGATTCTCATAGTCTTACAGTCTCACGCAGGGAGCGTCCGACGCGCAAACTGTTTTGTACACAGTAGGTAGCTGCGGTGTGTGTGTGCTTTCTAGGTCTTCAGGGCCTGATCGGACTCAGGGTCCCACAGTGCGCCATTGAGACGACCTCTCACAAGCATTTGCGGCCTGATGACCAGCCGCTAGCAATGCATGACACTGCCAAAACAATCATGAGACCTCTCAAGGCATGTTCTGCAAGCAAGGCTGAGCCAATAGCTGTGTTCACCACACCCACCTCACGAAGGTTTCGTTGATACTGGAGCACTGTGACAGCCATCCATCTGCATTCTCATGAGCCACGACTCATCATCCAGGCCCTCACATCAAGAAGACGTGCTGCAGGCGATCCTGAAGACCAGGAGCGGAACAGCGTAAGTTGTGGGTTCGTGGACGGTCCAGTGCTTGCCAAGGCTCCGGCCTCTGCTCAAAGCCTCGAGAGCCCAGCAGCTCAACACATCGTAGCAAAGCATAACAACGAAGCAAAATGGATAGCAAAACCACGTGTTTTAATGTTGTTGCATTCTATTGATTTGTGTTTTGGTTTGAATGTGCTGATGTATCCTAAGTGTCTCTCAGTGGTGAAGAGTTGGCCATTGGCTGGACTCTCAGCGTTGAGCCAACTGTGCCATTCGCTTAACTTCATCAAAAACATGTAATGCCTTGGTCGCAGTGGCAGCGTTATTCTTCCCAAAGTGAAGGCGCCCTCCAAGGCTGCAACAAGGTGCCACTGCCCAGAAGCCCTGTCAGTTTGCACTTCCAAAACGACTACCAGCCCACCCCGAGCTCAGCTGTCACGTTTTGAGCTCTGAGGAGCAGTCCCCAGAGATGACAGAGCTGCGTTGATGCACACGGCATCTGGTTGAAGGCTTCGGTCCTACCAGCTTCGATGCTCGCACATGACCCTGGTCACCACGGCTGGGTTCGTTCCGGGAACTGAGCCGGTGACCAGGGTCATGTGGTCAGTTGAATGAAGATGCTCTCGGTGTCCCAACCGGTCCTTCATCATTCTCATCATCATGACGGCTGTCTCCCAGCTCAGGGTTCTTCCACACCTCTGTCACACTGAAAATAAGTGAGTCAACCAGCGGGAGTTGCTCCTCGAGTTCTTCCATCTCTGACACAGAGGCCATGCAAGTGGCCATGCATGTCTCAACAATTCTCATCATGTCTCCAAACAAAGATTTCACGTCACCTTTGTTTCGCTCCGGAACTTTTCGTCCACCCCGATGGGAGCACACCAAGCTGCAGGGACCGGCCGGGTCTCAAATTGGCACCAGGGCGGCCACTCGGTGGTGGCTGGCCCTGGCCTTGTGGCGAACCCATCCAGATCGAACATGATCGAACCGAGCTGGTGGATCACTGGCATATCCACCACCCACATCCACCCACCTTTGGAAGACGTATAATTAGTATGACAAATCCTTGCAAATTCGAGTGACAGTCGTTCTTCCCCTGTCTTTCTTCTTGTTTCGGCTCCAAACCTGGAACTGAATCCCCACACGCTGCGCGTATCTCATCCAAGTGCCAGGCCGTTCAGCTTCAGGCATGCACATGGCTTCCAGCTGTTTCTTCAAAATACCTCAGGTGGGCATGCCGTCCTGCTCCTTCAGAACCTCCAAATAAGAAGGCATGTGGCACATGGCATCACGATCATTCCAACGGACCCGTTGAGTCCAATTATTCTGATATCTTTGCTCAAGACATGCCCAAGGTCGCAAGTTTTATACCCTCACCAGTGACTCAGCAGCCAGAAAAAAAGACAATAGCCGTGCAGCTTGCAATGTTTCTTCTGATGTCAACAGTGGACACCCTCAAAACTCGCTCAACACAGTTCAACCGTAGATTCTCCGGTGGTTCTTTGTCTCAAAGCATCCGAAAGCCAAGCTGCTGGTGGCCCCGATGGCCGATTGACCAATGCTGCTCTTCAACAGTTCTGACAGTTCAGGAGCTTTGTAGATCGTGCCTCTGCAGTGGATCCCAGACGTGTTTTCTTGGTGAGTGTAAGATGACGGCCATACAAAATGCGCATCCGTTTCCATACCTGCTCAGGAGCTTGGCAGCATGTCAAAGCCTCAATGACCCTACAGGCTGGAGGCTGAATAAGCATCTTCTTACTGTAGTGCTCATCATTCTTGATTCTTGTTACACCCCCAATATGGGGACCCCAAAATGAACAGTCAGGGCCAGTAGTCGTCAATAGTCACCAACAAAGGGTCTCAAGCAGGTTAAGGTTCGGTTAAGTAAAACGTCAGTTTCATCTCCGAAGTGTCGGCCTGAAATCACGTAGAAGGTCTCTTTGGATGTTGCCGGATGCTGGAGCCGTTGGAGCACGAAAATGCTGGTCTCTACAACACCTAGTCAAAGAACATCCCGGACGCACAAGGAAGCTGAAGCAAAGAACAAGCAAGAGTCCGACCAAATTATTGCACTTGAGACAGGGAAACACGAAAGGTAGAGAGTCACCAGGAATATACGAAAGCCGCAGTATCTGAACGCAACAGGGCTGTGTAACAGCTGTGGTTTGTAAAAGCTGCCTGGTGCCAAAACTGTGCCGCACAAATGCGGTCCTATGTCGCGTGCATAAAGGTTTCGGCGTGGTGAGGTTTGTCAACACGGCTTTGCGTAGAGGCTGTGTTGCGTCAACGCTATAATTAGTTAGTGTAGAGCGATATGGTGTGTGAACGCTGGGGTGCATAAAAGTTGCGGCTTCAAACGCTGGCATGTGTAAGAGCTGTGGTCCCATAGCTGCACGCGGCTTGTAAAGACCACAGGTGTGCATGCACTGCGTCGAAGCCGTGTTGCGCAACCTCATTGTAGGGGCACTGCTGTTGCTGCCAGTGAATGGACTGGACACGCTATGGTAGGTGATGCGAGTGGTGCCGGCGGGAGGGGTCACCAAAATAATTGGTTAATCAATGATTCATCACATTAGAGGGGGGGTCAATAGAATTGATATATCAATATTTGGTCCCGAGCAAGCTGTTCAAGCTAGTAGCCCTTACCAGGCAACCTTTCGTGATCAGAATCTGCCAAAGTATTTCAAGAAGCGTTAATCAAGTTATAGCAAATTGCATTAAACCAACCAAAGAAACTACTTAACCCCTAAGTTAGGAATTGGCACAGCCCTGCCTGCTTTGGCATCCTCGTTGGCCGTTCGCAGGACAAATTCGTGGCTTCCTGCCTGTGCCTGACACACTTGAAAGGTACATGGGAAAGGGTTCCTAGAGTAAGGCCATGTGCAGGATGTACAGGCTGTGCAGGGTACACGCTATTGTTTGGGCGCCCGAGTATTGTAGTGGCAAAGTATGGCTATACAGGAGGCCCTACCGTCTCCCAACCTTGCGCTATCAGCTGTCAATGCGCCCCCTCCAGGCAACCCTTTACTCCAGGCAACCCTTTAGAATGATAAGCTGCCAGGGGCCACATCATATCACTCTGCCACGGGGCATGGTTTCCTGACCACATTTCTGCGGAAAGACGTTTCCAACGTAGTGCCAGCATCCAGTCTCCCTATGACTATGATCTTGACAGGCCCTCGAAGTTGGACTTAGACGTAGCTGCAGCTAAAACGATGAAGGTTGGCAAAGGCCAGGTAGATCCAAACTTCACCATGTTGAGAATTGTGTGGCCGCCTCCACCTGCAAACCACGCCGCCGTTGTTCATTCAGCGACCCCTCGCCAAAGTGAAGATAAAAGGGCGATGTGTAGAAGTACTCCAACCTCGAAGCACATCAGGCCATGACTTGGTCTGACTTGGGCTGTGACTATGACATCAGTTATTTCTTAGTCACAATGACTTGACACGACTCGTCAAATCAATTTGGGGTTCTCCCCCTTCAGTGGCAACGTCAATTTGTTGCATTGGCCATGGGGCACAATATCAGCCGCCAAGTCTTCATTGTGCATGCCCAGAAGCACATTCTTCGGCGTGAGGCCGTTCTTTTCCAGAAATTCTGTGTTCCTGAGTCTGCCAAAAGTGTGTGTGTGTATATTAAATAGGTAGGTAGGTATGCATGTATGTTTGCACGTATGTATATGTACGCGTGCATGTATGTTTGCATGTATGTATGTATGTATGTGTGTGTGTATGTATGTGTATGTGTATGTATGTGTATATATGTACGTATGTATGTGTGTATGTGTATGTGTATGTATGAATGAATGTGTGTATGTATGTATGTGTGTGTATGTATGTGTGTGTACTGTATGTATATGTGTGTATGTATGTATGTGTGTGTGCATGTGTGTGTGCATGTGTGTATGTGTGTATGTATGTATGTGTGTGTGTATGTATGTATGTATGTATGTGTGTATGTATGTATGTATGTATGTATGTATTGATTGTATTGTATTGTATTGTATTGTATTGTATTGTATTGTATTGTATGTATTGTATGTATTTTCCTAGAGTTGAGTATGCTTCAGTGGCACGCTTGGCCAGGTTCTAGGTCTTTGCCTCAGTGTTGTAGGCTCTCAGAAAAAGTCGACCATGAGTGGACTTGCTTCTGCTGATTGGCTCGAGTTGGAGTGCACCTCATCTCGTTCATCAAGTTCCGTAGGAAAGTGCAGCCTTCTAGGTGCGGGCCTGGTGGAAACCGGCTGTACCTGCTCAGTTGTTTGCAGGGGAGGTTGGTGCTCTTCTGCAGAGGAACTAGCTGCTTCACTTTTCTTCTTGAAGAATTCGCTGAGAGGTGGGGATCCTTTCAGTCCTGCTCCTTTGCAAGCTTTGTGAGAGCCTGCGTAGTGATGATGCGTTTTTCTCCATCAAGATGCCATTGGATTCCGCATTGTGTGCAGCGGACTCGATCACCTTTTTGCCAAAGGCTATGGGTGGAGTGCCCTGGATGAGCCTGGGTGTAGGCCTGATCTACACAGTGGCTGGTGATGAACTGCCGGAAGGCTGCTTCATTGACACGTTTGTGGATGTTGATGCCACATTTAGTGCACTTGAGGTAGCCCGTGGTCTCAGCAACTCTTCTGGTGTTGGTGCTTGCTGCTGCTGCTGGTGTAGCAGGTCCTTGAGTCCTTGATGACCTGGGCCCTGGTGGTTTTCTTGGCCAAGGGTTCTGCCTGGGTTGGTGGCGTATAGCAAGCATCTTCAATGAGGACCTGAGGACAATTCTCTTGAAGCCGGCTTTCGAGGATGCTTGTGGTCAAGCCTTGATGCATTCTTGTGCCACACGCGGTGCATTGGTACCCGCTTCTGTGAGGCTCCCACCTGTGATGGTTTTCAGTCCAGGCTTTCGTACATTGCTTCACCAGGTCACGCTTGTGCTGTTTGGTATGCTTACCCTGATGCCTTGGAGCCTTTTGGTGGATGTAATGTGTGTATGTATGTATGTATGTATGTAGGTAGGTAGGTATGTATGTATGTATGTGTGTGTGTGTGTATGTATGTCAATGTATTTTTCCTAAGGCGTCTTTCTGTCGCATGGTGTCTGTGGCCCCTTGGCCGGGTTGCTAGGCTCAGTGGCCTCACCGTGTAGTAAGCCCTTTCGGCTCAGAAGCAATCTTACCTCCATGAGATCATCTCCGTCTGTGCCCTGGTCGCAGGCCATGTGCCTGGTGTCTTTTTCTATGCGACTGGCTGCGTCGCCCACGGTTGGGCTCGGGAAAAGCCTTTTGGGGGGCAACACCGTCACCACACGCCCATCATCAGCCATCCGCATCAAGCCTCTGTAGACCAGGATAGCAAGTGCCTTTTGTGAGTGTCTCTCTTGATGTGATTGGCTAGGACAAGCTTGTCGTCCATGAGGTGTTGGCCAAGGCTTCTTTAGGAGCCAGAATTTGGTGAGCCCTGGGGCCAGGGCTCATGAGACCTTGCCTGCGCCCCGTGGTGGAGAGGGCTGCTTGGAGTACCCTTTGCCTTTGCCTGCCGGCTTGTTGGCTGTCTTCCACCATTGGCCGCATCGGCAGCGTGTTCCCTCATTGTCCTGGATCAGGGAGGAACCAAGAGTGACCTGAAAGGAGTGCAAATGGGCAGTGTGTTCCTCGCGATCAGTCCTCAAGGCGCAGACGTATGTTCGTCTGAGGATGTCCGCACCTGCAGGTC